GAGCACGAGCCGGGCACCCGCCGCCCTGCACCTGCGGGCGGAGACGCGCGCTCGGTCCTGCAGGCCGCGGACCTGCTGGAGCCTCGGGAGGAAGGAGGGCACGTTACCGGCTGGAGCGCTGAGGATGGAGGGATTATTCCACTTTGATATCAAGCTTTATTTATTCATTCATGGGCCGCTGCTACCCATTCTGTGCCTGGCACTTTTCTAGCTATTTGGTATCAATCTGTCAACAAAATCTTTTCTCGCTGGCGCTTACTTAATTCAAAGAAAGATATGCAGTGTGTGTGTGTGTTTTGTATATCCTTATGTGATTTAAACACCCTAGGGGAAAATAGAGGCAGGATTAATAAGTGAAGAAGACCTCCGTTTGTGCATTTAAATATGTGATCTGAACCGACTTCTTTTATTTTTTTTTAGTATTTATTTTTATTTTATGTGTATGAGTGTATTGCCTGCATGTATGTAAGTGCACCCATGTCGTGCATTGCCCGCAGAGGTCAGAAGAGGATGTTGTATCCCCTGGCACTAGAGTTGTATAGACGGTTAGCCGCCATGTGAGTGCTGGGAATCGAGCCCAGGTCCTTTGCCAGAGCGGCCAGTGTTCTTAACCGCTGAGCCATCTCTCCAGCCCAAGTCATTCTCTTTGAGAGGGCGCTCTTTGTTTAAATACTTCTAGTGGGCAAGGGGTATCTCTGTGTTGCATAAGTTAGAAAAGTAAACTCAGCTGATAAAATCTTATCTGCCGGCTAATCAGCAAACTTGGCATAATTACGCCTTGGGTGACCTATTCATGTCCATAACCAGCCATCCGTTCCCACACCGCCCCCCCAAGCCATGTTGACTGCATCTAAAATTTAGGCTACTATTGGCTAAGGGAGAAACTGATAAATAGGACTACAAGATGAAGGACGTGTCCTGTAGAATTAGGAGTTGCTGGTTGGTCTGGTGTTTTATTTCCTACCTGGCTTTTCCCGGTGCTTGTAACTTCCAGTTTCCTTGCTTCTCATAGCGCAAGATTATGGAGCAAAGGCAAGGATTCTTGCCCATTGGTTTACTGGCATTATGTTAGCAGGGTGGTGCCATTTCAGTGTCAGATCACATTCTTTAGTGTCATAAAAAAGGATAAATGCATCAAAAAGGGAAACAACAGAGTCACAGTAGGAAACTGGCATGCCCATTTTGAAGCCATCAGCCAATAAGCATTTTGCTCCTTGATTCTCAGGCCAGGAGTGTGTTGTGTGCAGGATCCTCCATAGATCTGTTTCAGGATGTTGTACATAGAAAATCTGTACTCGGCCTTCTCCTCTACTCAGGGTTAACCGGGCCTCTTCTGTAATTGTGGGTTTTATTTTAACATCCTTGTAATATGATGAAAGTCTCCAGAAAGGAGAATTACATGTTACACTCCAACCCAGGTTACTGGCTTCCTGGTGGTCAGTGGGAATTGAAAGTACTGTGTCCTCTGTTGGCCTTTAACAGAAAGCTGGGTGGCATTCCGTTCTCAGCCAGAGTAGAGCACCAAGTGGAAAGTGGCCAGCCCTTTCCCCCACTTTTCAGAAGACAGCTTTCTTGAAGCAAGTTTTCAATTTCTGGCTCCAGTTGCTTTTGAAAAAGAAAAAAAAAAAATCATAAGCATCCAAACCAGTGTTAGCTCTTGCTTAGAAAGTGGTGGTGTGTGGGGCTGGGGAGGTGGCTTAGTGGATAAAACAGAGTTCAAATCCCCAGAACCCACATAAATACTGGGTAGGCACAATGGCCTGCCTGTAATTCCAGCACTTAAAAGAGTGGAGACACAGGATGCCTAGGGCAATCTGGCTGTCTAGACTAACCATGTCCAGTAGCTCTGGGTTCAGTTGAGAGGCCCTGACTTGCTGAATAAGGTGGAGGGTGACTGAAGAAGACAATGTCAACCTTGAACCTCCCAGGTACACACATGCTGCACCAGCACTTGCACACACAGGTGCCGACACATGCAAACAGGCATGTACACATACATGCACACCAAATACCCATAAACACAAAGAAAGTGGTGTTATGATTGTTTTTGCTCTGTGTGGATGTGGTGTGAGTGAGGAGGGTGTTCGTGTTGGAAGACACAGGAATGACTCTCATTAAAAACAGGGAATCAGGGACCCGAATGACCCTGTCACACATTCTTGACTCGTGTTTTCCTGCTCCTTGACCCATAGGACAGTCCAGCTGAGTTCTAAGGTGGGTGAAGTGGCCATGGAGGGCCCCTTGAGAAGTGCTTTCATTCATTCACTTGCCACTGTTTCTTGAGTTAGATCTAGTCTGTGTTAGGCAGACTCTTTTTTTAATTAATTAATTTATTATTTATTTACTTATTTTGAGACAGGGTCTCATGTAGCCCATGCTGGCCTCAAACTCTCTGTAGCTAAACTCCTGATCCTCCTACCTCTACTTCCTGAGTGTTGGAATTATAGGCATATACCACCATGCTTCTTTTTATGTGGTACAGGAGCTCCAACCCAGGGCCTTGTGTGTGCCAGGCAAGTGCTCTACCCAAGTCACATTCCCAGTCCTAAACTTTTTGGTTTTTTTATTTTTGTTTTATGTGTATGAGTGTTTTGCTTACATGTAAGTGCAGCACGTTTGTGCAGTGCCCACCAGCACCAGAAGGTGTCAGATGCCCTGGAACCAAATTTACAGATAGTTATGGGGTGCTGGGACCTGAACCTGGGTCCTCTGCAAGAGTAGCCAGTGCTCCTAACCACTGAGCCACCCTAGACATTCTTGCTGTCTTCTTGTAGAGCTGCCTCTAGTCCCAGGACCAGAAATAAGTCATGAAAAAGAAGTACTAGATTTAAATGAGCTCATCTACATAAAAAGGAAAGAGGAGGTGAAGAGAAGTTGATCCCAGTGTTTTTCTAGACTGTCTCGTAATCCAGATCTTAGCCATTATTACAGTTCAATTACAAAGCATAAAGATATGGCTTGCTGTACGGAAAGCCCTCTCCTGGGTGCTAAAAATGAAGAGACTTGGCTGCTGTTGCACTGCATGAACTACTAGATGATGCAGATACGGAAATACAGTAGTAAGTGCTGTCATAGGCCCCCCGGTGAGAACATGCTGAAGAGCAATAAAGGCTCTTCCCTTATCTGGGTGGAGGGAGCAGGCGCAACCATAAAGTGTAACCTCATGCCAGGCCTGGAACATAATGTGTTCTTAGTAAATTGCCCAATTAAGTGGAGAAGGGTATAAAGGAATGCCAGAAATGTAGCCCTTGGGAAGGAGAGCGAGCCTAGTCTAAGGCAGTAAGGGCTTATTTTTACCATCAGATGCACAGATCCTGGCATTTTCTATTTTGTCAATCAGCAAACAGTGCTGATACAGTTATCATTGCATCTCTTCCCTTGTTGTGATGTTGATCGTGACCACAACTGCTTCCTCTTCCCAGATGGCCAGTAGTTTGGGGGAACTGCAGAAGGCTGTGGAGATGCAGCAGCAGGCCTATGGGGTCCTGTAGAGATGCAGCAGCAGGCCTATGGGGTCCTGTCCACGTAATTTGCTTTAGTGTTGAGGAGTGAAGGATCCAAAGTGGTGGTTGATTAGCTGAAGTGTCTCTCTCTGGGAGGCTTACTGAGGAAATCTTTCCTCTTTGAGTCGGTAGATGAGTCTTCTCTCTGTCCACTCTTCTGTAACACTCAGCCTCACTGGTACCAACCTGTTCCAGCTTTACTTTTTTTAGAAAAGTAAAGACAAATGTGTAGCAGGATTTTCAGCTAAGTAGATTAAGTTTGAATTAAAGATCTTTAGTTTAAATTGTCCCCCCCCCCATTTTTGGTGTCAAGATATCTTTTAGAAATAAGATAATATGTTTCAATGCCCTTTCTTGAAAAAATTAAGAATTGTGGGCTGGAAGGGTGGCTCCTCAGGTAAGACTTCTTACCATGCAAGGATGAGGACCTGAGTTCAAATCTCCAGCACCCATGTAAAATGCTAGGCCTGCCTCCTGTGCTATAATCCCAGAACTTTGAAGGGCAGAGACAGAATTGCTGAGGCTTATTTACCTCTAACCAAGTTCAGAATCACTGAGGAACCCTGTCTCCAGGGAGAAAGGCAGAGATGGATAGGGCAGGATACCAGATGTCCTCATCTGGCCTCTGAGCACCACACAAGTGCACACTTCCACACACATGCACATATTCATGCACATTCAAATAAAATAAAGATTAAAAAAGAATTTGCAATCCAAATATTACTCCAGTTAAAAATAAATTTGTTTTAAAACTCATTTAGTAGTTAATAAAGCACAAAAAGCCAGGAAATGTACTGTGCTTTCTCCATCAGATGAGTACCCTAAAGTAAGTTTACAAAGTTATTAAGTGCATGAGAATTCATAGAGAAGTTAAAGAAAAGATTGTTTAAAAAAGAAAATCTCGGGCTGGAGAGATGGCTCAGCGGTTAAGAACACTGGTTGTTCTTGCAGAAGACCCAAGTTCGAATCCCAGCACCCACATGGCAGCTAACAACTGTCCGTAACTCCAGTTCCAGAGAATTGACAGCCTCTTCTGACCTCCGCAGGCATTGCACGACACAGGTGCACTTACCTACACGTAGGCAATACACAAATATGCATAAAAAATTTTTTTAAAATCTTTCCAGGGACCCAGCAGATAAAGGTGCTTGCTGCCAAGCCATGAGTTCAATCCCCAGGACCCACACTGTGGGAGAAGAGCACTCCCAGAAATGGGTCCTCTGGCTTCCTTGTATGTGCCACGGCACTCGCAGCATGCATGTGCACACACATGCACACACACGATAGATGATAGATAGGTAGGTAGATAGATGGATGGATGGAGGAAGGAAGGAAGGAAGGAAGGAAGGAAAAGGAAAAGAAAAATGACTGATAGATAAATGTGATAAAGAGACCATCTTTCCAATGGTAGGTGCTCACTAAGGTATTACAGGAGAACTGCAGAGAAGTACGCTTCATGAATATAGATACAAACTCCTCTGAAAACACTAGGAAACTAAATCTGTCAGCACATAGCATACTGTTATATACCATGGTCAAGTGGGGTACACCAGGATTGTTAGGTTCATTTAACACCTGAAAATCTACTTAATATGCCATGTTAATAGATAAAGGCTGGAGTTCTGGTTCTGTGCATAGAACCTCCCCATCTTTGCCCCCTGACCAGGAATCTCTCTTATCTTATTCCACACACACACACCTTGCCTGGAAATGGCTGGGGAGTTTCAACCTGTAACTATAAATGCTGCCCACCACAAAATTGTAAACTTAAACATTAGGAGGTTTTTGGGGGGGAGGGGGGGTTACTCAACTGCATAGTTCTGGAGCATGAACTTGAAGATGACAACGTGGTCCACATAGTGGGTTATGTGCATTTCCTTGTTGCTCCCAGCACTGGGGAAACAAGAGAATGGCCCCGACAACCCAACCCTGAGAAAAAGGAGGGACAGAAGGGTTTAAGGTCAGCACAGATGACAAAGTAAGTTATTAGGTGGTTTAGTTGGATTTCTGTTGTAATAAATTATTTGTGTACCATTCAAAATTGTTAAGATGGTAATTTTATATTAAATGTATTCAACAAAAACTTAAAAACAAAAACCTCAAAGCACCAATAAAGGAAAGCATTAAGTAAAATAAACACAAAAAGTAATCATTCAATGTGCTAATGAAACAAGTATTTTAAGCATTAATTTTAGAATAAAACAAAACAGGCTTTACACAGATTCCTGTTTTGAGACAAAAGTCTTGCTAGTATATAACCAAGGTTAGTCTCTGTTCTCTTGCTTCAGTCTCCCAAGTGCTGGGATTAGAGGCATGTGTGCCACCACACCCTGCTTACATGCCATTTGAGAAAGAACAACAAAACAAAATGGCAAAGGAAGACAAAGCTTAATGATATACTGAAGCAAAAAAATACAGACACAAATTTAAGACAAAACATAAAATGCAGAGCCAGGGGTGGTGGCACACACCTGTAATACCAGTAATCCCAAACTACCTCCAAACTCTAGGGGTGGAGGCAGGAGGATTAGGAGTTCAAGATCATCCTCAGCTACACAGTAAATTCTAGGCCCGCCTAGGCTTCACAAGTTTCAAAAAGAAAAAAGGATGTCTGGTGAAATGGTTTAGTGGGAAAAGACACTTGGCACCAAGCCAGAGGATCTGAGTTCCATTCCCATGATCTACATGGTGGAAGGAGAAAAATGGCTCCTATAAAGTTGTCCTCTGATACTTGTATGCCCCCACCCTACACAAATAATAAAATTTTTAAAAAGATGCAAAGATAATAGGACAATTACTTTTTACTGATAATGTAAAACCCACAAGGAAGATCTGAAGCAGTGCAGAATTTACACATCTTACCAAATAATACAGCATCAAACACACAATAAAGTCATCAAGGTTAAGCGAATGAGAAGATAGGACAGAGACTGGTAGAAAATATTTGCAAAAAAATTACCTAATATAGGGGCCCGAGAAATGGCTCAGCTGTTAAAAGCGTTGGCTGCTCTTGCAGAGGAACCTGGGTTTGGTTTCCAACACCCACATAGCAGCTTACAACAGTCCACACCACAAGTTCCAGGAGATCTAACACCCTCTTTTGACCTCTGCAGGCATTGCACAACATAAGTACACTTATATACATGTAGGCAATACACATACAAGTAAAAATAGAAATTTTTTTAATTAGAAAAAATGGGTCCCAAGAGTGACCCTCATGTGGGGCAGCTCACAACCACCTGTTACTCTAGCTCCAGGGGATCCAGCCCCACTTCTGGCCTTTGCAGATGCATACACATACAGACACACACACACTTGTACACAAATAAAAATAAATCTTTCTTTAAAAATAGACAAAGATTTGGATAGACATTTCTCCAGAGAAGTGTGTCCAATAAACACATGAAAAGATGCCCAACGGGGCTAGAGAGATGGCTCAGTGGTTAAGAGTACGGACTGCTCTTGCAGAAGCTCTTTAAAAATAGACAAAGATTTGGATAGACATTTCTCCAGAGAAATGTGTCCAATAAACACATGAAAAGATGCCCAGTGGGGCTAGAGAGATGGCTCAGTGGTTAAGAGTACGGACTGCTCTTGCAGAAGACTCGGGTTTGGTTTCCAACACCCACATAACATACAACAACCGTCCATAACTCCAGTTCCAGGGTATCTGACACTCTCTACTGACCCCCACAGGCATTGCACACGACATGGGCGCACTTACATATATGCGGGCAGTACACTCATGCATAAAATTTAAAAATAATAAATAGAATATTTTTAAAAGATATCCAATGTTGTTAGATACCAGAGATATAAATTATAAAATCATGTTTCATGCCCACTAGGATAATTATAATTTATGAAACAGAATAACCACTGTTGAAGAGGATGTGGAGAAACTGGGAACCTTGCAGGCTGCTGGTAACAACAACAAAAAGAAGTGTGGCGGCCACTTTGGAGAACCATCTGGCAGTTCCTTAAACAGTTATCATATGACCCACCAGTTCTGCCCCTAGCTAGGTACATACTCAACTGAAACAGCATCCACAGAATTATTCATGACAGCAGGAAGTATAAACAAATTCATGTCTTCAACTGAAAAATGAGTGAACAAAATTTGGTAAGCATTGTGGGATGGAATAGTATTCAGTGACACAGAAATGAAGTTCTAGGACATTCTACAGTGGATGACCCTTGACCCAAATTATGCTAAATGAAAGAGACCAGTCACAAAAGGCTGCAGTCTATGAAATCTCCAGAGTAAGCAGGCAGTAGAGACAGAAAATACATGAGTGATTGTCTAGGATAGGGATGGAGCGAGTGGAGAATTGGGGAGTGAGAGCCAAAGGGTAGGTTCATGTACGGATGAAGAAAGTATTTAAAGTTTATTGTGGGGTTGGGTGCATAACTAAATATAAGGAAACAACTGTAGTTTATTCTTGAAATGTGTTGTCGTGTATGAATTCTGGCCCATAAATAGAGTTAAAAGAATTAGACCTTTGTGGTATTAAGACATACCCTATAGTGTTGAGTTGCTTTTGTTTGCCTGCAGGTCTGTTTTGAACATCCTCTTTTTTTCCCTTCTAGAGCTGAGCCTGTCTGCTGAGCGCCTGCACCTGCAGCCCAAACTAGGGAATTTCTCCTCTGGGAATCGGAAGTTCTACTTTGACACCCACGCCTTGGTGTGCTTACTTGAAGCAAATGGTAATCCTCTCCCAGTCGTCCCTCTGTACCTTCCCTTTCTCATGTTTATCTTTGGCTTTTAAGCCTCCAGGTAAGCTTTTGGTTGGGCAGCCTTTCAAGTTTGCAAGGCTTTTTTTTTTTTTTTTTTTTTTTTTTTTGAGGAAAGATCTCATGTATCCCAGGCTGACCTCAAACTCACTGTGTAACTGAGGATGACTTTGACCACACCAGTTTATTCAGTGCTAGGGAATGGCACCCTCGGGAGGCTGAGGCAGGAAGGATCAGGAGCTTGAGGCCAGCCTGGACTATGTATTGAATTCCAGAACAGCCTGGGCTATATTTAGGGAGACCTTGTCTCAAAAAGCGAAAGAAAAGACACTCTCCCAACCATGCAGAGAGACTTACTCCACATAACCTGGATGAAGGGTAGATTTCTCAAGTAACTGCTTAAAGGCTGGGGATGTAGCTCAGTTGGTGACAAGATTGCCTACTGTGCACGAAGCCCTGTGTTCTGTCCTAGCACAGCACAAACCAGGTGGCTTATGCTATAATCCCATCACATAGAGGTGAAGGTTGTAATTACACCTGTAATCCCAGCACACAGAGGTGAAGGCAAGGAGATGAGACCTTCAAGATCATCCTTGGCTGTATAGAGTTGAAGGCCACCCTGGGCTGCACGAAATTCTGTCTAAAACAAAAAGCATATGATAACTGCATGAGATTTGCACAGGAGTGACTCTTGAGGGATTATTCTGTCCTGTTTGTATCCAGAGCTGTGTCTCTTAATTAATGAAACATCCCCCAGGGTCTTCCCAACAGATCTCACTGAACCTAGTTGAACCCTGGCCTGTCATCCATGCACAGAATGAACTTGTGTTCCATAACCCAGTAGGCTCAGACCGAGCATCTGCTTCTCCCCTTCTCCCACTAGTGGTGAGAAGCTGGATGGCTTTGGAGCTTGTTTTACCAAGAGCTTGTTTGTTTTTCCACAAAATTGCCAAGCCCAATTATATTTAACTGTGAACTCTTCTTAATGAAGCTTTAAAACTTGCAAAAGGCATGTTTATTTTTGAAAACTTAGGAAAGCAGAAAACACAAAAACCTTACAGTCCAGTACTTCAAAGTTGAACAGTGTTTGTGCTGGTGGGAACCTTCCTGAATATGTACATAATGCTCATTTTAAAAATTAAAGTTTATGGTGTGAAGCAGTGGGAGTCTGTGGAGGGTCTTCTCATTAGTCGACACCTTGCTTTTGCATTAACAGTCTCATGTTTAATCTCCCAACAAAGCTGATCAGCTGCAACTTTATTCAAACACTAAAAATTACTTAAACGAGTCATCAGATTCCTCTAAAGTTCTTTCCGATGGACACGCTTGGCAGAAAAAGAAGTTGCTTTCTAGGAACTCAGTTTTAAATTTTATTAGAATTACTGATGTGAAATATGAGCTACAGTCTGAAATTACTAAGAACCGTGCTATACATCCAGATCATTCAGATGTTCAATACCGAATACAAGTCAGTTCATCATTTGATGAATATCAAAAAAAACTTTTTTCCCCCATTACGGGTCCTCCAGAATAGTAACTGAAGGGAATTGTGAAGGAAAGTTGAAAGAACTAGTTTCGTCTTCTAGCAGCAAGTTAACTAACAGCTACATTATTATATTATTATACAATACTATATTTGATTGATGGGAGCCATAAAATACTTGAACTTTCCTATTGAAGCAAATTATTTTTACCCTCCTGCATTTTAATATGAAGGAAACTGTCCACCATAGAAACAATACAACGGAATACAAAGAAGAAAATAAGGACTGGAGATACAGCTCAGTAGTAAAGCCCACACCTAGCATGGCTAACAGGGTCCTGGGTTTGATGTCCAGCACTGCCCATAAAAACTAAAAACAAAGTAAAACATTTTTGAATCTTTATTAAATTACAGAAGCAATTACTGCATCCATAATTTTGAGTCTTGGGTTCTTTTCTCACTTGACAGTGAATTGCACACACTACCTAGAACTTTAAACATTCTGACAGCATGGTTTTGACAGCTGGGGATGGTGTTACAATCTCCCCAGCCACTGAAACACATTCAGATGGTTTCTTCTGGTCAGAGTGACAGACGCATCCCTGCCTGTGAGTCTGGTCCCCTCACCCTCCACCACGCCACACTTTTCCCTTTCTTCAGAATCCAGACCTGCACAGGAATGTGCGTTTGCTGTGGGTTTTTTCTTTGACAGCTGCAGCTCTGAGTCTGGTGTCTGTTTGTGCTTAGGGTTTACTGCTCAGCAAGCAGAAATCATTGTGTCTGCATTGGTCAAGATCACAGAGGCCAACATGGATATTATCTACAAAGACATGGTCACTAAAGTGCAGCAGGTGAGCTTGGTTGGGTTGTTGGGCACAATTGAAATCTGAAAATAGGATATTACTTATAGTCAATATTCAAGTAATTCTTTGGATGATGTTCTATTGAAAAATGTATGGTCATTTTAACCATAGTTCAGAGGCAGAATTTATATAAATATTTCATCAAAGCCAATTTAGTCAGTAATTGCAGACTCACACTGAAAGCACTGTGCCTGGACGCCCACTGTTCTGGACAAGCGTACTTTAGTAGCTGGAGATATGGCGGGAACTGTCATGTGATGTCATTGTGTTCTCGCTCCCACTTCACCGTGACTCACTCAGTGTTGGTGCGGAGGACCGTTAGTGTTCTTTCTCATTTTGGAATGGAGGGTGACGTTGCCAATCCCCTCTGCTGTTCTCGTTCTTCTGGTTTCACATTAACAAGCTAGCAAGTGGAGGTGAGGAAGTGGGCTTGGGGGCCAGACTATGCTACATGTTTTGTTTCTCTTTTCTCTAGGAAATCACTCTTCAGCAAATAATGTCTAAGATTGCAAATGTGAAAAAGGACATGATCATTTTGGAGAAGAGTGAATTTTCAGCCCTCAGAGCAGAAAATGAGGTAAAACTACACAGCCACCAGAGAAACTCACTCCGTTAAGACACTGAAATGTACTTTACCCAGAGAGGCACAGATAGGTGTACATCACGGTGGATTTTCAGAGTGTACAGTGCTGATCACGTCAAGATGGGAACATGTCCAACCCCTGAAGTCCAGCTCAGGTCCCTCAGGCCCTCCTCCCAAGAGAAAAGCACTACCCTAAGCTGACCCCACCCAACACTAGTTTTGCCTATTCTAGAATTTGGATGGAGGCCTAGAGTGTGCCTTACAGTAATAGACCTGTTTTTGTTTTGTTTTGTTTTGTTTTGTTTTTATTGTCTATGGTACTGTATCAATATGCCACACCATCCCAGTGTGGTAGACATTAGGATTTTCACAATCTGGGGTTGTATGGACTAAGTTGTTCTACAAAATACCCCTTCTCTTTTCAATCTATTTTTTCATATATGATATGCACATGCATACCACCACAGCGGACAGCTTTGTGGAGCTGGTTCTCTCTTTCCATCTCTCTGTGGTCCTGGGGATGGAACTCGGGCTGTCAGGCTTTCTAGGAGAGTGCTTTACTCACTGAGCCATCTCACGAGTCCGCTTTCCTTTTTTTTTATTTTGAGACAGAGTCTCCCTGTAGCCCCAGCTGACCTGGAGCTCACTATGTAGACCACACTGCCTTGAACTCACAGAGATCCGCCTGCCCCTGCCTCCTGAGTGCTGGGATTAAAGGCATGCACTACCATGCCTGGCTTTTTTTTTTTATGTGTGTGCATATATTACCTGCATGTGTTTAAGTGCACCCATGTCATGCAATGCCCACAGAGGTCAGAAGAGGGCATCAGATCCCCTGAAACTGGAGTTACAGACAGTTGTTGGGTTCTGGGATTCGAACCCCGGTCTTCTGCAAGAACAGCCAGTGTTCTTGACCGCTGAGTAAAGTGTGGCATCTGGCTTATGGAAGTAGTATCTTTGCATCATGCTTGTGTTTTCAGTCTTATTGGAAGTCCTAGAAGGAAGAGTCACTTGTTGTCTGTTGAGTTGGCAAAGTTGTCTTGGAAGTATGCTAGTAGAGGAAGAATTAGTTGAAAGAAAAGGTGAAGGAGGAATAAAAGAAAACAGGGCCACTGAAGGCAGCTGTGTATGTTACAAACAATTGGCACTCACTTGATGGCATCTTCAAGATGAATTAAAGCTGGTTACCAGGTCTACACATGCCTTATAATATGGCTATAAGCTGGGCTTGTGTTTGCTTGGTTGGTTGGTTTTGGTTTTGGTTTTATTTTTGTTTTGAGATGGTCCCGTGCAGCCCAGGCTGGTCTTCAACTCACTATATAACCCATGTTGGCCTCAAACGTGTTGGACAATCCTCCTGCCTCAGCTCTCCATTGCTAGAATTACAGACCTGTGCTACCACACCCAGCTCAGCTAGTCTTGTGTTCCGAATCTAATCATATTTATGGTAAATGAGGGGGAAATTGGAAGAACTTGTACATAAATGCATGTTGTAGTGTTTGATTACCAAGTTTTCTGTTTTCTTCTAACTTTGTAACATATCCCTGACTTGTTTCTGTTTAATGTGTTTTCAGAAAATAAAACTTGAACTACACCAGTTAAAACAACATGTGATGGTAAGACTGTCTTCCTGCCTTTGGGCTTGTTGGTAATTATATTAACTTATTAGTAGATAAAATGCCTAAATACAGCCTGTGTTCTTAAAAAATGTAGTTCTGTGCATATATGTAATATACTTCTAAAGTACACATTGGAAGGTTGCGCTAAGAACACAGCCCATGAATAAATTATCAGTGTCTCTAACCACATCTATTGAAGAAATTGTGTTGGAAGAGATTTTTCTTTTTTGAGATGATGTCTCACTCTGTGTAACTCCAGTTCTCCGTCTTTCTACCTCTGCCTTCTGAGTGCTGGGATTTACAACACTAAGCCCAGCTAAATCATTTTTCAATCAAAATTGTTCTAAACTAGCCACCTGGATTTGTTAGGCTCTTCCAGAAAAAGGGTAGCTTTAGAGATTATGTGTAGGTTTTAAATGGTTAACCGGCCAGCAGTTAGTTAGTTATTTAGTTAGTTAGGAAAGGACATTAATGTTAGAAAAGATTTTGATGAGTCTTAGTGAAAAAGCTTCATGTCAACCACAATTGAGTGTTTGTTTCTTTGGTTCATCTTTACTTTGCAAAGTTGTCTATAAAGAACCTTCATTGCTAGGCTTAGTGGTATGTACCTTTAATCCCAGCATTTGGGAGGCAGAGTCAAGAGAATATTGAGTTCAAGGCTAGCCTTGTCTACATAGTAAGTTCTAGGCAAGGCAGTCAGGGCTACATACTGAGACGCTATCTCAAGAAAAAAAAAAAAAAAGAAAGAAAGAAAAGAAAAGAAATTCTTTCACAGATTCCATACAGAGAATCTAAGATTAAAAGCGGCATGGCCCCTCCAGGCTGGCAAGCTGGTCAGAAGAGATTATTTGTGCATCTGACTGACTTAAGATGTGGTCCAGAGTCCCCTGGCCCCATGAGGCTGGGCTACTCTGCTGGTCCCGCCCAGGCTGGCTCCCCTGGGTTAGAGGCCTCGGACGGTTCAGATCCCTCACATTGGCTTTCTCATTTCCTTTGTCATCTGCCCTCTGACCAGGATGAAGTGATCAAAGTCCGGACAGATACCAAATTAGACTTCAATCTGGAAAAGAGCAGACTAAAAGAATTGGTATGTTCCTTTATTAAAAATAGGCTTTGAATTCATTTCTTTTTAAGATGGAATGCTTGGTAAAGTCTTCAGCTCATATGCAAGTCACTAATACCGTTAAACATTTATTTACCCATTTCTTAGTGTTAACAATTTTGTTTACATTTTTAATTGCATTTTAGATTGTGGCTTAGATTTGATGATTTCAAAAGTAACATTTAAATTAAAATTTTGATCAAATTGGGTGAGTTTTTTTTGTTTATTTCAGAGATAGTAGATTCTGTGATCCACAGGCATTACTAAAAAATTAAACTTGACTTAATCTATTTAATACAATTTAAATCCCCAAAGTCCCTAATTTTGTAAAAGTGAACCTGATTTTCTGATTTAAGTAATATTGCTGTTAACGTTAAATATTAAGTCGTACACTGAACTTGAAGATAAAAGCTTATTTCTGTATGGTCTTTTAAATACTGTGAGTGGCTGTGTGTTTTAATAGATACATTTTGGGTTGCTCTAGTGGAATTCTATTTTTCTAGCAGTTCTGGGACTCGAACTCTAGTCCTCACACATGCTAGACAGGTGTAATACCACTGAGCTACAATGCCCCACAAGCTCCTATCTCTGGTTTTTGTTTCTAATTTTATTACATTATTTTAGTTTATATGCATGCACATGTGGGTAGAGAGGGGCATGTGCATGCATGGCTCACAAATGGAGGTCAAAAGATAACAAAGGATTCTGTTCTCTCTTTCCGCTATGTGGGGTCAAACTTGTGTCATCCGATGTGGAGGCAAGTGCTTTTGTCAGCCAAGCCATATCTCTGGCCCCACGTCTGCTGATGTTGAGCCTGTGAATGCTTCCTGCTCAGACTTGCTTTAGAGGCAGTAACATTAGTTTCATAACTTTCTCACTCTTAGTATGTGCAGAGCACTTCCCACTGGCGTGACTAGGACACTGTGCAGAAGAATCAGACCACTCTTCATGGTCTTGTCATTTTTCACAACGTACCATAGATCAAATGTGTCCTAATGAAGCTAACACTGAAACTCAGACAGGCACATGATTGCACCTGGATCTGCTGTTGGAGTCAGTAGTTAAGTTGAGCGTTGCTCTACAAAATGGTAATTACACCCATTACCCATCTTTAAAATCTTACCATACTCTTCAGTCACAAAGACTGAATCACCTGGCATTCAGAGAACCATTCGATGACCGCCACACGACTAGTGTCCAGAAGAAAAATTCTTGGCAAGGTTTTGCTTGAATCCACTTCATTGAGGAAGATGATTATATGCCTGTAGCTAACCATGCTGGGGAGAAATATATCTAAGAGACTGGGAAGTACAGGATGTGGTGTAGATTAAAGCAAGTGAACTCATGGGATTTACTAACGCTATTAAAGTATTCTTGGTACTGTGAAGTCCTGGGCACCAGCTTACGGTATGGGTAGTGTATCTGTGACAGTGCACTAATAAGGAGTTATTTGGCTTTACTAGCCTCTTAGTAAAGTTAAAATGTTAGTTTAAAATTTAAATTCTGGCTGAAGTTATAGCAGACCCCTGGGTTTGATGCCCTGGACTGATATTTTGAGCCAGTTTCAAAAGCAGTGTGACATATAATTGTTCTGAGGTTCCAAAAAATAAAGCCACAGAAGTGTCATTTTAATAATTGTGACAGTGTCAAGATTCAGGCCTTTCTTTTGCTGTGAGTTTAAAGGAGTGTGGAACATTCAGCTCCACCCTGCCCTCTGGCGGTGATATAATGTGTGATGCTGTCCTGTTAAGGTGTCCCTGGTCGCAAAGGAACTTGGGTTCCTTGGTCACATGACTCCTCTATATTTGGAGGTTTAAGAGCTTTAGAAGGGCTTGTTTTTACTTCTGAGCACTGCATTTTCATACTCTATTCCCCTGGTGGTTCCAGAGGAACATTTTATAACTAAAAGTTTTCTAGATACTTCAAAGTGTTCGTGTTTTTTTCCCTATAACAGTGTTAACTTAGGTCTTAAAAAATCTTCATTTAAAGTATAAGTTGTTGTTTGCTCACATAAATCCTAATGCCCATTACTAAAGAGACATATGATGTTTGATTTTATTGTCAACACAACAGTACTCAATCGCTTCGCTGCCATTAATAGCCAAAGACAAGAAGACATTATAACTCTGGGTAGAATGCACAGTTCCTTCAGAAACACTGGATTGTGATTGCCTAAAGTGGGATTCTACAGTTGTTGTTATTAAGACCAATATGATGGGTTAGTGAGTTTCTTGAATTTGTGTTGTATTTTATAATCAGTACATCTTGTTACAGAATGATATTCCTTGGAGCTATTTTTCCCTGGTATTATATTGTTCCCATCTCTTCTAAGCCTCAGTACTGCCATATTATGCTTGTAGTTATGAGAACATACTCCGAAATTCAAAATGATGTTCCCTTTTTCAGCTCTCCTAAACCCAAAAAACACATGGCTCAATATCCTTCTAAATGGGCCCCAAGGAATTCTGTTCTAATAATGGGCAGGACCCAGAGATTTCACAGCCAAGAGATGAAAAGAGATGAACAGCAGAGAGAGGTGGCAGGCGACAAAGGGGACCTGCATGTCCACAGGGACTCTAAACAAGGAACATCAGACACGATAGAGCAGGCAGGCCACTCTCCTAGGGCAATGGTCAAGTGTTGCACGTTCTAGGAAGTACTGAGACCCACGTGTTTAGGGTGCCAGAAAAGAAGACAGGCGAGTCAACCCAGATCTGACCCATGTTGCATGTTTGTTTCAGTGTTCACTGAACGAAAAGAAGCTTCTGCAACTGAAGACGGAAGTACTGGCCCTGGTAAGAACTGAGACTGACTCTTCTGTCAGTCTGTTCATCTTTGCTTCTTCCCATGCATGCTTTCATGGTTAGCTTTGTTTGTGTTGGTGTGTTATAGGAAGATGTGTGGGTTTAGTGTTGTGGGATTTTTTTCATTGTGAAGGGGAAAAATATATCTGTGTGCGTATATATATATATATATATAGAGAGAGAGAGAGAGAGAGAGAGAGAGAGGAGAGAGTTACCATCATAACAATTTTATGTGCATAATTCAATGTCATTTTTTTATTTTAAATATGTTAATAATTTGAGAATTTCATACATGCATACAAGGTGTTTTGATCAAATCCATGCCCACTCCCTCCAACTCCTCCCATGTCTCCCCATCACTTTTTCTGATAACTTCACGTACTCTTCTTTTTCTGCTTTTGGCCACTCTGACACCCCCCCTTTGAAGAGGTAACCCTAAAGTCTTTTAAGGATTAGATACAAGCTGCCCTGCTCTGACTTTTTCCTAGTTCCCTATCCAGAACTTGAAATGCTAACTACTCTTGCCTTTACTTCTCCTTCACATCTCCTATTCACCAGTCAAGGACTTTCTTTTCCCCCTACAGATAAGAGTTATGCAATTTGGGAGTCTTTTAGATAGAACTACTGAAAGGGTACCCCAGTTGCCTCATCCTGCATCCCTGTTCAGCATGGAAGAAGCCAGAGCAGTCTGCATCCAGATTCCCTTTTGGCAATTTGGGTAACCTCTTCAGAGGATGGTGTGATAAGAATAGGAGGTAGGAATTGGCTAGACATTTAGGGTAAAAAGATCCCAAAGAGAAGTAGCCAGTTTCTTGGGTAAAACTCACAGTGTCCTTGGGCCTCTTAGCAACATACTCCATTTCAATGTCATTTTTTAAGATTTGTTTTTAATTATGTGTATATGTATGTGTCTGTGTGTGGGTATGTGCCTGTGGAGGCCAAAAGAGGACATTGGATCCATGGAGCATGGTTGTAAGCTGCCCAATACGGGTGCTGGAAACCAAACTGTGGTCCTCTACAAAAGCAGCAAGCGTACTACACTACTGAGTCATCTCTCTAACCCTAGTGTCATTTCTTCTGCAAAGGTGAAACTATCTTTCTGGGGGTGTGCACCCATGCATGCCCTGCAGAGGCTAGAGGTCAACATCAGGTGTCTTCTTTAAGCCTTATATTTTGAAACAGTCTCTCAGTGAACCTGAAGCTCACCAGTTGACTAGACCAGCTGGCCAGTGAGCTCCTGGGGTCCACCTGTCTGCTTCCCAGCACTGAAGTCAGAGGCACGCTCCTCCGCTCGGCCTCTACATGTGTGCTGGGGATCTTGAACACAGGCCCTCATGCCTAAGCATCAAGCATTTGACTCAGAGAGCCATCTCCACAGACCCAGAACTGTACCTCTTAAACACTGGTTTCCCATCCCTCCTCCCAAAGCCCCTGACAGCCCCCTTTCTACTTTCTCTGTGAATCTGACTAGATAGCCTCCTACAGGTAGAATCATATGGCCTTTGTCTTTGTGTGGCTGATTTATTTCAGTTAATGTAATGCCCTTGGGTTCATCCATGTTGTTGGCAGTGACAGAACTTCTTCCTTTTTCAGACCGAATAATACTCTGTTATATTCCCTACCACATTTCATCCATTCATCTTTTGACACTTGAGCTGCTTTCTTCATTTGGCTTTTGTGGAAATGCTGTGAGTAGTGTGCAGACAACTGTTGGCATCTCTGCTTTTGGTTTTGGGGATAAATACCCAGAAGTTGAGAGCTGTAGGATTTTCAGACTTAACAACAACAACAAAAAAAATACACATATCTTCATATCTTTTTTTTTTTTTAAGACAGGGTCTCCCTGGCCTGGACCTTTCTATGTAGACCAAGTGGGCCTGCCTCTGCCTCCCCAGTGCTGGGATCAAAGGTGTGGACCTCTATGCCCAGCATAAAATTATTTTTTTGAGGGCTGGAGAGATGGCTCAGTGGTTAAGAGCACTGGCTGCTCTTGCAGAGGACCAGGTTCAGTTCCCAGCACCCACATGGCGGCTGATCACCCATAACTCCAGTTCCAGGCGAATCCGATGCCCTCTTCTGACCTTCTCAGGCATTGCATGGCATGGATGCACTTACACAATACTATTCATACATGTAAAATAAAAATAATAAATAAAATATTTTTTAATTATCTTTTTGAAAGTTTAAGTCTAATGATCGACAAATAATGGATGATGGTATCTTATAATTTATGGCATGTATTAATCCTTTTCCATATATACATATGGAAAGTTGTTTTTATTTTTATTTTATGTGTTTGAGTGTTTTACATGCATGTATGTAAGTGTACCGTGTGTGCAGGGTCCACAGAGGCCACAAGAGGGCATCAGAGCCCTTAGAACTGGAGTTGTGGACAGTTGTGAGCTGCTATATGGGCCTGGGAATCAAACTCAGATCCTCTGCAAGAGCAGCCAGTGCTCTTAACCACTGAGCCCTCTCTCCAGCCCCAGAAACATGTATTTCTATGTACATCCCATAGCTTAGCAGTAGAGCATGTGTGTAGGCTATGCAGAGAGAAAGAGAGAATATGAATCCATATTGTTACCTAGGACCTCTAAGCTAAAGAAGGCTCCCGTGGTATTTTTGAATATTTCTCTGGAAAAGTTTTATTTCCTTACTATCTACCTGCATTGGTGTGTATAAGAAACTCCACTAGGATTTTTAGTGGAACATTCTCAGTGTTTTTATGCATTATCATAACAGCCAAATTCTCTGCCTTTTAAGGTTAAATATGTAACTTGTAGTTGTTTTATGTTTGGAGAAGAATAGAAGGTGGCTCTTGATAGCTGAGCCTTATGTTGATAAAACACTCGATGTTTGACCTGTGAAAGAAGAAAGCTCATAAAATGTGACTGGGAATAGTATGGAGACAGTACTGTCAGATCCTGCTGTGTTTCTCGGAATTTCAGAGTTACTGTCCATCTGCAGGGGCTGGGCAAGGTCAAGGCAGTCACCACCATTGAAAACAAGCTGGCCTCGTGATGCCTTGGCATGTAAAGCAATCTACAGTTCTCAAAAACTTTCACATAGATTATCATGCTTGACTCTTTCAACAGCTCTTATGGAGGTAAGACCAATGGTGGGTGTCCCCCCACTTTTTTCCACTCGGTGACAGACATGAGGCGGTAAGGGTCCTAGGCAGTATGGTGTGGCCTGAGGATAGGCAGAACCAAGACTAACCCCAAGCTTCTGCTCTACAGGACTGCACCCCGCTGGGAAGGAAGACTGGACTCAGAGCAGAGGGCAAGGTACCCACAGGCTCTAATGCTCTTAACCTCTTTGTTTTAAAAGCATGCCCAGCAAGATCGGGCCCTGACTCAGACAGACAGGAAGATAGAAACCGAGGTTGCCGGCCTCAAGACTCTGCTGGAGGTACACAAGCTTGATACTATCAAATACTTAGCAGGTAAGTGGCTTTACTTCTGAGTATTTAAGACAACCTGAAAAGAAGGTACCTCAGCTTCATGAAATAGGTCAGTGGCAGGCACTGCAGTTCATTGGCTAACACTGTCTCATGCTTTGACATTTTTTTAAATTGCAGAGTATCTTACAGTGTTCAATAGATGGAGTGTCTTACTTTAATTTGCATTTTTCTTCCTTCCTTAATAGTAAAGAAAGTGCTGTACTTTATAGTTGATGGAACCATAAATTTGTTAAAATGTGTTCCTTGAATTGTGGTTTAGGGATTTTAATGGAAGGCCTTTGGCTTGTGATCTTTCTACTTCACTGATGATATTTGCTGGGGACGATATATGCATATGTGTACAGGTGTATGAGCCCATGTGTGCACAAGGGGAGAGCAGAGGAGGAGATCAGGTGTCCTTCTCTGTCACACTACCTTGTTCCCTTGAGACAGGGTCTGTCACTGAACCTGGAGCTAGGCTGGCAACCAGCAAGCCCCAGCAATCCTTCTGTCTCCATTCCCAACAGACCTGGGGTTATTGGCATGCATGGCTACATCCAGCCCTTTACATGGGTTCTGGGGATTCGAACTCAGGTCCTCATGCATGTACCCCCTGAGCTATCTCTCTCAACCTAGTGATACTCTTTTTTAGGGAGTCATTTTGGTTTTGGAATTTTTAAGACAAAAGAAGGAATAATTAGGCATGGAAAAAAATCACTATTTCAAGTCAGTTCTAACATTTTGTATTAGTCAAATATTTTAAAGTTATAGCAGTATTTAGTAGTGAAATTTTGTTTCTTATTGAAGTACATAGCACTTATGTATGTACCTTGATCCGGGAATTTTTGTGATATTGAAAAGTTTTCTTGAGTGTTTGCACTCCGACGATGATGGTTGGGGACTTGTTCTCTATTAAGTAGTGTTTCTTGAATTGCACCTTAGCAGTAGGAAAACTGAATTTCCAGGTTTTTACTGCTGGTATAGAGGTGAGGAAGTGCCTGTGTGTTCTTAATAAGTAGCCAGCCCTCCTCTTTCAGCCCCTCTAGCTGGCTTATGTTACCTAGTACAGCGTAAACAGGAAAAGAATCTCCCAAGTAATTTAGTAGGACTAATAATACTTTCAGTTATTTTTTCTTACAGGGTCTGTATTCACGTGCCTAACAGTAGCTCTGGGATTTTATCGCCTGTGGATGTAATGAAGTGTCTATTTAAAGAAATTTCCATTATTTTGCCTTAAAAGTACCAGATTGTTGTTCCTCACACCCCCCTTCTTTGTTTCAAAGTTAAATCCTGATTTGACTTCATGCATATTATTTATTTCTATGCAAACTATGGGCACATAACCATGGTGAAGAAGTGGGGAGCTCTGTGATCAATCCTCAGATCTTCCCTGTTTTGTTGGCTTTTTGGCCAAGTGCTGTGGACAAAGCCTTCAAGACTCCATTCAGCTAAACCAGTGGACTTGGTCTTGCCTGTGATTTATACCAAAAGTCTGTATTGGTATAATTCTCTATAACTCTAGGTATTTTGTCACATAGAGGATTTGGGATCACTTTTTGAAGATAAAGTAACTTTAAATATGGACCATCTTTGAACTTCAACCCGGAACGCCAGCTCCTCCCTGCCTGTTGCCACAGTCACTCCCTGCCATGCCATGCGGTGATTGCAGCAGCTGGTGTGTTAGTGATGCAGCTGTGCTGATACACCTTGGTGGCTTTTTCTCTGATGTCTGTTGTCTTAGTAACATTGTCATGGTTTTTATTAATGTGCCTTTCAGCTAGAAAATCTTGTTACCTAATGAAGCACTGTAATTGTAACAGGAGTTCTTACTGCTTACATTCACTTTGGGGGACTCAAGGGAAAGGGGGATTTTGTTTTTGAGACAAGATTTTGCTATGTAGCCCAGACTGGCTTCAAACTCACAGTCCTGCCTCAGCCTCTCAAGTGCTGAAGTTATAAGCATATGCCACCATGCTGGCTTCTTTTACCTTTTAGAATGCTCGATTTCCCTTCCCTCTTCACCGTCTCCGTCCCTCATGCCAGAAGGGCAGTGATACCGCACTGGTAGCCTTACCTACCTAAAGCTTTGCAGTTCTCAGCATCAACTACTCTTTGTGGTTCAGAGTCAACTTCCTCTGGTCTCCATCTGCTTTTTATGATGTGCTGAGCTTTCCTCCTGTGGAGTAGCCAGATAGTGTGCACAGCTTTCGTGATAGAATAGATGTCATTGGTGAATCCCTCTTCGCCTGTGAGCAGCTCGCGTTATCACTTTCCAAAGGAGAGAGCCACCATGCTCAGCCTTGGCCTGATCCAGATTCATTTCGTTCGTGGTTGAAGACATCTTCACACCCACCTTACCTCTATATTTAAAACAAATAAACCCTGGGTGTCACTGGGGTTATTTTGGAGATGTTCGTTCTTGTCTGATTTAAGTGCTGACTCATGGACAAGACTAAGCATTGGGAAGCTGGGACCTTTCTGGTTTTTCCACACACATGCGTGGTGCACAAAAGCTGGTACATTGCAGAAGCCACACAAGATTGGCGGAGGAATAAATCACCCTTTATCATTCTTCCAACCACATTGCCCCCTAAAACAAAAGTTACCTTTTGTTCCTTGGATATAATTTCTAAGTTTTAGATGTTATTAAGTCCTTGCCTTTTTTGAAAACATTTGTGTAAAAAGATTCTGAGTTCCCCATTATACAGAAATCAAGTACTTTTGTATTGGACTGGTTTCAGAGTGAAATATAAGTTTAGCCTTTTCAAATAGATTACAAATTGTCTTATCCACTTAATAGAATATGTTGTTACTACACTCATCCCCTTTCAATGAAGAGTCCCAAAGACTGCCCACCCAGCAGTTGCCTTACCACGCTATAGGCCTGGTGAATGCCACCCCAGCTAGACCACAATTGTTCCTGCTTCATGTCGGCACAGCTAGAGAAAGGGCTAGAAGGCCCATCGCTCTTAGCAGGTCACATTGCCAAATAAAGACTGGCTCCCAGGAGGAAAAGGCACTGGACAATTGTTTCCCAATACATGCTAACCTTAGCTAGTTTAAAAATAGAGGGTGAGTGTCCTTCCATCCTATCAAGTGTGTTTTAAGTAACACATGCCAGAGTGATGTTCTTGCATCTGCTCAAAGTATTCCACAGTGTTTGTGGTGATGGTGAGCTGTGTCATTGATTTTGCTGTGGAGTTCTGTTAGCACAGAACAGTCACTTTGGCCTTCACAATGAACTGTCATCTCATTGAGGATTTGGGACTGTTTCCTAAACTGTATTAAATTTGAAAAGCATTGAGCCAAAAATACACATGTAACCCTCCCATCACTGGCTTGGACATGTGTGAACAGGATAAGCATGCTACCACCAGGCACTGCACTGGCACTTTGGGTGCTGCCTGGCTAGTGAGGACCCAGAGCTCTATGGGAAACTAGGCAGAGGTGCACGGAGTGTGAAACACTTGGCAAAGCTTCTGGGTAGCAAACTGGGATGTGGCCCACAGGGAGGTTAACCATAGTGAGATGGGGTGGAAGGGTCAAATGGGCTTTGGCTTTCCTTTGCTTCCCATACATGTCACTCTTCATTCTTAAAGGGTTCCCCCATTTTCCTGCTGTACTGTTTTCTCCCCTCCTCTGCCCTTTTTTGTGCTTGCTAGGGGTCAAACCTCAAGCTTTGCATATGCTGGGCAACCAGTCCTGCCGTCTCCACAGCCCTTGGTGGTTTGTAGTTCTGATTAGTTTAGGGGTTTTGCTGCTGTTATGGGTTTTTTCTTGTTTTGGCTTTGTTGTGCTTTGAGACAGGGTCTCTCTGTAGCCCCAGCCGGCCTGGAGCTTGCTGTGTAATCAGGCTGGCTTCGCAGAAATACACATGGCTCTGCTGGAACCTTGTTTTTTAAGAGGAGGTCTTGCTGTATAGCTCACATGTGCCTAAGTGCCCCATCCTCCTGCCTCAGCCTCCCAAGTGTTGGGATTACAGGCACTAGTCAGCATGCCTGGCTCCCTCTTGTCTTTTTAAAAAAGCCTGAACTCCAGTTTCACTCCTTTAGTATGACCACTAGTATGCAAAACTTTGGGGTTCCTTGACTTTCGTATCACTTTGACTTTCTCAGCTGGTGTTCTAGTGTTGTATCTTGCAACACTAAAGCTGATTGTGTACATTTTCCCCTCAAGTATGCAAGGCACCTCAGTTGGGAAGTCACGGGTTCAAGAAGAAAGGCCTGACTTAGCACAGAAGTACTGCTGGAGTCTGTCCTACCAGGATCCTGAGCTATAGCACACGTGCCTAGACTGTCCCATACACACGCCTGGACTGTCCGGTATGGGTCTTAAGCTGCTGTCTCCTTCGTAGCTGTGTGGAGGCTCCATCTTCCCTCTGACTTTGCTAGTCCCTCCTCCCCAGCTTTCCAGTCTCCGATGAACCATGTCACTACTGTGAGCAGCTCCCTTCCCCCACCCATGTGTGCTGTGTCCCAGGACTGGCGTCCATCTGAACAAGTGCCTGACAGATCCCACTCTAGAACTTGTGTCTAGAAAACTTTGACTTTAACCTGAGAAGATCAAAATTGTTAAACAGCTTTTATGGCACTAAAGAAAGAATTTTTTAACCAGGAATAGCTTATTCTTTATGTATGTAAGATATTTGAGAATGTTTAACTGGTGGAATTTTATTCAGAAAATATTTATCTTTTTACAGATTTGCACTTACATTCCTTTGATTACAATTCAGAACATTTCTTAACTTTAGCAAATATTCAATTATCTTTTATTATCGTATAGAGTGAATATATTTTATTACCCAAATAAAAGATTTAATTTTATGTGACTAATAGACTTTTCTGATGGTTCAGATTGAATATGAAAAGCTACAATGCCTTCTTCCTGGAACAACTGTATTTAAACCATTAATCCTATCCATTGTAAAATGATACCACTTTCTTACCTATGGTGAGTTGTAAGTAAATCTAATACCTAAAAATATGGGTTTACATAGAATATACATTTGAAAGTGAACATCTGATTTGCAAAATAAATTTTTATTTGAAAGAATTATTTTAGCATCTGTGTGTAAAGTGTTTAACTACTTGTTTAAGGGGAAATGATAAAACTAATACCAAGGGGAGCTGGAGAGATGACTCAGTAGTTAAGAGCACTGGCTGCTTTTGCAGAAAACCTGGGTTTGATTCCCAGCACTCACGTGGCAGCTCACAACCATCCATAACTCCAGTTCTAGGAGATCTGATGCCCTCTTCTGACCTCCACAGGCATTATATGACACAGGTGCACTTACATACAGGCAATACACTCATACACATATAATAAAAATAATGAAATTTAGCCGGGCGTGGTGGCACACACCTGTAGTCCCAGCACTTGGGAGACAGAGGCAGGTGGATCTCTGTGAGTTCAAGGCCAGCCTGGTCTACATAGTGAGTTCCAAGACAGCTGGGCTACAGAAAGATCCTGCTTCAAAAAGACCAAAAAAAAATTTTGGCTTTAAAAAAAAAAGTTAATACCAAGGTTTTAGAGATAGCTAAAGGACTCAGGTGGCCAGTCACAGAAATCCAAATCAGACTTGTATGAGCAAAAAGAGTGTTTCAGCCTAACTTACTAGAGTTGGGAAAACAAGTCTAATGATCAGAGCTTGCCTTGCCACACCTCGCCTGGTCCCTGGGCATAAGCATCTCAGACCTACTTGTACACACAGAGCACCTTCTGTGTTGTGCACACATGCCTTCGTATCAGTGACTTGAGATCTCCCCTTTGAAAAAGCCTCAGCAGGTGGTGCTGAAGCTATTGCTGGGTAAGTCTGGGGTAACAGCAAACAGGGTCCCCAGAGGACCTGTGGAACAAATTCCCTTAGAAACAGCTCTTCCCGAGTCAGACTCTGCAGGCTGATCTTGAGTGTAGGGAATGGCTGCCCCAGAGGCATGCAAAGGAACACTGGGTTAGTGGGGAAATGAAATGTATAGACAGCCCGGAAAATGTTGGACACATCATTTTCTCCGGAAATCTTTCACCAAAGTTAGACAAAGAAACTAAGTTTAGCCAGGCACGGTGGCTCGTGCCTGTAATCCTAGCCTTTAGGATACTGAGGTAGAAAGATTGCCTTGACATTGAAGCTAGCCTGGACTACTTAGTTCCAGGCCAGCCTGGATTATGCAGTAGGACCCTGCCTCAAAAGACTAAATAAAGAAACTGGCTTGAGAGTAAGCAGCAGTTTGTGAAAGACTAATAGCAGATGAGGTAGGGTGAGACCCTGAGTGATTTGTAGACTCAGCCTTCAAGGCCCCAAATCAGTGTGCAGCACTTTACGTTTTAGTTCTTCACCCACACTGCCTTCCCCCGGCCCCATTCACATCTGCAGTGTTTGAGCAAACTGACACCTTTCCTAGCGACTCTGATTTTTTTCTCTCTGAAAGGAAAGCATTTTCTAAAAACAGATTTCTATCTGGAAGATGAACCTCTGGCATCCCACAGCAAGGCTTCCCTGCTCGCTACCCTGCCAGACATTGTCTGCCTTAATCCTGCAGCGTCCGCAGGTCGTTGCCATGGAGCTACAAGGTCATGGACCACTGGGCCCTGAAGGAGGACTGGGCTGGCTACCACTAGCACATGGGTCTAAGCATCAGCCTCATTTACTCAGAACTATGGGATTCTGATCCTCTATAGATATCACAGATCTGCAGATAACGTGTACATGTTTATGTACATGTATGTGTACATGTGGATGCCCGTGGTTAACACCAAGTATCTTCCTTGATAGGTATTGTTTTGAGACAAGGTCCTTCAATGAACCTGGAGCTTGCTGATTTGACTAGACAGGCTGGCCAGCGAGCCCCAAGGATCCTCCTGTCTCTTACATCTCCAATGCTGAGATTATAGGTACTTCCCAACATGCTTGACTTTTTTATGTGGGTGCTAGGAATCTGAACTTTTGTGCAACAAGCGCTCCACTGACCATGCCATCTCCACAGCCCCTTGCTCTTAGCTTTCAATCAATCTCTCTTTTT